TTTAATTATTATGTTAATTAGAATCCTTACATTCTAGTAGTTTTAATTTCTAGTAAAAACTGGGAAGTAAGCAATTGTCAACTTTCTGTCACATTAGCATTCAGTAGATTAGCATAGTTTTTTATAATTTTGAGAAGTGTCAACTTCCTCATAGTACAATTTTTCATTGTGGCACAGGAAATGTTTACTAATTGACTCAAATATCTTTAGTTCTTCTATAATAAGCCACATGTGTATAAGGTTAAACTTGCTTTCAATAATTAATATGATTTAGTGTTTACCTTATTTGGAAATGATCTAGATAATTTAATAAATATTCATAATTTAACTTAGCAGAACTTTAAGGGTGTAAGGTATGAAAGAAATTTGGAAAATTATTTTAGTGGATATATTAAAAACACAATTATTGTTGAAAGGCTTATAAACATTTATTTCTCTTATGGTTATTTAATTCACTTATTTTTAACAATTATCTTGGGTTACTCATTAAAATTTATGAGACAAAAGCTACACATTAGACAAAGCTGGCTACTGTTTCAAGTTATTTCCCTGATAACTATTTTTACATCGTGCATGTTAGGCAGTAGTTACCATGACAGCAAGAATCCTAAAAAAGTTAAATATATGTGTTATTTTTTGTTTGTTTTAATGCTGTGCTGGCTATATATGAAGTAATAAACATTGCATCCATTCACATTTGTTCTTAGATTGAAGTTATTCATAGTTCAGGCATTTTAAATATCTAGTAGAGATTACATAAATGTATTTGATTAATATATTCATGTAAAACAAAAGTTGTGTGTATGCATTATATATAATGCCAACACTGATATAATCTTCAGTAAATAAAAGCTAAAGTGTGTTGGTTGAAGAATGTATGAGTGGACTTTAGGATTCTAGTAAATTTCTCAGGAGAGCTATGTTAATTTGGAGCTAAAGAAACCAGGGATTGTGGAAAGCATCAAAGCTTCATTACATAGAGTGGCTGCCTGTGGAGTACATCCGTTGACACTGCTCAGTCAACATCTAAAAAGCAATAAAGGATGCTATAGTCACCAAGATGTCTATGGCCTTTCCTTCTTCTTCCTTTCCCTCCTTTTCCAGGAGAAAGACTTGCTACTTCTGGAATATGCTACCTCCAGTTGATAAGAGTAGCATTACAGTTTCCATTAAATGAGTTGTAAAGGTAAAACGTTCTATTAATATGCATATATGTTTTAGTCCATTCTCATGCTGCTCTGAAGAAATAGAATGGATAACTTGTAAAGGAGATAAGTTTAATTGACTCGCTGTTTCACAGGGCAGGGGAGGCCTCAGGAAACTTACAATTATGGTGGAAGGGGAGGCAAACACATCCTTCTTTACATGGGAATGAGGGAATGTATTCTCTTTCTGGGTCCACAAGGGGGCATAGTTTTAAGAGCAAGAACTTCCTATCACCATGCCCCCCTCCCATCTCTCTCGATCCGGGAGATTTAATGGTTTATGTTTGAATTTCGCAGCGTGGGAAGAAACTAAGAGTCAATCACTCCAGTGGAAGTTCTAAGGAACTCCTTTCATTGGCCAGGGGTCTTAGACAAGGTGGGGGTTCCTCCCAGGTTAAAAGTCCCCTTCTTCTACACCCCTTCGGACTCCATGTTTGGGTCCCCTTCCACGAACACTCCCTTCATGGAAGCCATCTTTCTCTCTCCTGGATTTCCCCTCTGGGGTCCCCTTCCACATTCTCTTGTGGAAGCCTGTCTTCCCCTCCTAAACCCCATCTCTCTCTCTCTCTCTCTCTATTCCCTTCTACTCAGTGTGGAAGCTGCTTTCCTCACCTGGATTCCATCTTTCTGGATTCTCTCTCTCAGTGTGAGAGTTAGCTGTTTCTCTCTCCTTCTTTTTCTCTCTCTAAATAAATCACTTTCTACAAACACTTTTGAGTCCAGCATTTACTACGTGCTGCGCCGTGGTCCCCTCTCTCATTCTTGAGAGGGTAGGAGACCAAGAACCTGGAGAAACGTCCTCTCAGAGGAGCTGAGGGCACCCTGAACCCCTGAACCCCAATATTACAGCAGCAGCAAGAAGAAGAATGAGTGCCCAGTGAAGGGGGAAGCCCTTATAAAACCATCAGCTTTTATGAGAATTCACTCACTATCACAAGAACTGAATGGGGCAAACTGCTCTCATGATTCAATTATCTCCATCTTGTCCCTCCCACCATGTGTGGGGATTGTGGGAACTATAATTCAAGATGATATTTGGGTGGGGACACAGCCAAACCATATATCAATATATTTATATATTCATTCGGTGGCTTTAAGAACAGTTTTTCTTTGATTATTATTCTTTAATGGAAATTTACCTGATGAAAAGAAAAATTAACTATTGTCAGCTTTAAACAGGAGAATCATAGACAGGGCTGTGATGGAAGGAGGGCCTTCTGAGGAAGAGCTGTTTCGACAGACTTATTGTTTCTGGTTACTGTCCAGTGGTGAGCACATGGTCTCCCTACAATAGGGTTTTTGTGAAGTTTGGGTATTGTTGAAGAAGGCTTCCTCAGAAAAGAATGATACAGATTTTGGCTTGTCATTCCTCCTGGAAATTGAAGCTTTCTGGAATAAGCCCATCCATCAGTCCGTGCAAAGCAAATGGCCTTCTCTTGCCATATGGGCCTCATGATAGTTACTGCTTTTCCTCTCTAGGTGCCAAGAACAAACCGAGTGTAAAAACAGAGTCTAAAAAAGTTCTGTGACTGGGGAATTTCCATCAAATGTTTTGACTGCTATGCAAAAAGGGCATGATGATGCAATAATCCCTTTGTGGGGAGGAGGGAGCACAAGGAGCCCTGGTAATAGAATTTTCATAGCCCAGTGTTCATTCTGTAGATGTTTGATGATTGCAGACTAAGGTGACCTAATGCATCTTCCTTACTTTTTGCATATTCCTCCCGCTAGACTTGGGCAGGCAGTTCCCAGGCTGGACACATTTTTCTAGGGACAAGGCTAGACTGAATATGCCAATGTTTGTCTGAAGCTGCTGATTCTTTCCTGCCATGACTCAGCCCCTTTAAAATGGCACATTATTTTTCTTTAAATATAAGTGTATTTTTATTTTGATTGTAGTTAAAATTTGTGGGTCTAAGTATGTCTTTTGAAGATGAATTTGCTTAATTCTTTTTTAATCTTTAAGCCCTGATTTTTTAGTTTAACTCTCGAGAAGAAATTTATTTCAGAGTTTGGAGAGATGCCTTCCTACAGCCCACAAGAACTGCTAAGAACTCTTATTTTAAAAAATAACCTCTTTTCTTATTCACTGATTAACCTGTTTCTTGAGTGCCGGTTCTTATAATTATTCCTTGGTGTAAAAGATCAGCGCTATGGCTGGGCATAGAGGCTCATATCCAGCACTTTTGGAGGCCGAGGCGGATGGATCACAGGGTCAGGAGTTCATGATCAACCTGGCCAGCATGGTGAAACCCCGTCTCTACTAAAAATATTAATAATATAAAATTGGCTGGGCATAGCAACATGTGCCTGTAATTCTAGCTACCAGGGAGGCAGAGGCAGGAGAATTGCTTGAACTGGGGATGTGGAGGTTGCAGTTAGCCAAGATCGCACCACTGCACTCCAGCCTGGACTCCATTAAATAAATAAATAAATAAATAAATAACAGATTAGAGCTGTAATGAAAAGTTTGAGAAATTTCACTCACATACTCTAGAGGGGAAGCTTGATATTATTGTTTTATTGGATCTCTTATTTATCATATAAAGATCCTCAGTGGTATAGTGGAAAGCATTCTTAAGGTGAAGTCCGATTATGTTGTTTTTACATCATTATGTAGTTATTACAAATATCAAACATGAAAATGTCAAACATCAAGTGAATGACAGTTTTGCTAATATGAGGAATTCGTTTAAACTCCCTGAGACTCAGAGTTTGAAAAAAATCTGTAAATTAAAGATAATACCCAAACCTGATAACCTCCCAGGGTTTCTGGGAGGAAAAACATAATTAGTCAAAAAACTTCATGATTAGTAACATGTCCCATAGTCATATTATTTTAATAATAATTTTTATAATCATAATTTTTAGCATACTTAAATATTTGTGGGTACATAGCAGGTATGTATATTTATGTGGTATAGGAGATGTTTTGATACAACCATATAATATGAAGTAAGTACATCATGAAGAATGGGGTATCCATCCCCTCAAGCATTTATATTTTGAGTGATAAACAATCCTGTTACATTCTTTACGTTACTTAAAATTATACAATTAAAGTTCTTATTGACTATAGTCATCCTATTGTGCTATCAAATAGTAGATCTTACTCTATTTTTTTGTGTCCATAATTCTTAGAATACTCAATTTTTATTTTGTAGACATGTTTTGTGGTGCTGCCCATCTGGGATTAGATTTTGCACTCTAATCCTGCAAAACCTCCTGCAGGATTAGAGTGCTTATTTGTAGCTGCTGGAAGGACTGACACAAGATGACACTCAACGGTCACTCTCACTTGGGAGTTGTCTCAGTTAGTGTCATACCCCACTTGAGGTCATACCTCTTTCCAGGCACAGCCCACATTGATGACTAATTAACCCAGTAACATAAAGGCTTGGTCCCCTAGCCTCAATCTGGGACACCCCTAAAGGGTCATCCAAACTCTAGAGCTTCACTGGCAGTCAACTAAAACATTTGCTGGGACTTCATCACAGCTCACTCTCTTCCTCCGCCAATCCTCTTTTCTTCTGTTCCTTTGCATGGGTGTTGGCTCCAAGACATTTCCTTAGTTAACATTGTGCAAACTCATCTTCTTGCCAAAGTCTCTGTTCTATAAGACTTAAACTACAAAACTGAGTACAAGATTCAGGAAAGTGGATGCTGAGAAGGGATTGTAGAGTTTGATGACCTACTGTCCAGCTGTGTGTGGAAACAGATAGTTCTTGGCACTAACAGTGAATTTATTTAAACCTTTACTGGTGATGAAATGGGAGGCTATACTGATGAAAGTGAATTATACCATAGTTAGTGCCATGTGTCAGGGATTTGGGAACTACATGGATGGTTGACTTGGGCAGCTATTGATGATATTGCACTCTGAGAAGAGATAATTCAAAGCTAAGAGGGTTAATTGTTGAAAAAAGCCAACTGTGAAAGCCAGAGGGCCTCCTTAGCAGCATATAAAGAGGTTCTCACTTCCTCCAGTGGAACAGCAGAGAAAGCAGAAGGCCAAGCCCTGCCTTCTCATACAGTTCAAAGAAGGTTGAACTCTAAAAGAAGGGAGTTCTGGCCAGGTGTGATGGATCACACCTATAATCCCAGCACTTTGGGAGGCTAAAGTGGGCAGATCACCTAAGGTCAGGAGTTTGAGACCAACCTGGCCAACATGACAAAACCCCTTCTCTACTAAAAGTACAAAAATTAGCTGGCATGGTGGCACACGCCTGTAATCTCACCTATTCAGGAGGCTGAGGCAGGAGAATCTCTTGAACCCAGGAGGCAGAGTTTGCAGTAAGGCGAGATTGTGCCACTGCACTCCAGCCGGGCAACAGAGTGAGACTCCATCTCAAAAAAAAAAAAAAAAGCTGGTCTTCTACGCCAAAGTAAAAGCCTTGATCAGAAGAGAACAGAACCCTGCATTTAGGGTGGGAATTATGTATTGAATGTGCTTGTAAATCTTGTATCCTTAAGTTTCCCCTAGCCTACAGAAATGAAAGGCTGGGACTCCCTTCTTGTTTGAAGAGAATTTGGAGGCCTCTCTCTTGGAAGATGTCATTTGCTCCCTGGCTACCAGAGCAATAACTACGTCAAACACAGGGCTATGCAGGGTCTTCCAGTGGAGGAAAGGGAGTAATCCTTGAAGAAAATGGGATTCTTGGACAATATGTACTAGCAGTAGCTAGAAGAGCACATGTGCGACTATATGCAGAGGGTGATAGCCCAAGAGGTGGTAAGACAGAAATTTAGATGAAAGAGAACTTATCATTAGAGAGTACTCTCTCAGGATACAGAGTTTAGCACCTTGAAAGCACCTGGAGATGTCATGAATGTTCTAAGATGGCTCCAAGAATTATAGGAAATGCTGTGGTCTGCACCAAGTGAAATGGAAATGCCAGAATTTCTACAGCAGACAACGAAAGAAGGAATTAAAAGGTTCACAAAAATAGGCTTGCTAGAGAGGATATAATATGTAGTTCTGGAAATTCCACTTGATGACTAGATTCCGTGGATGTGCCTGAAGGACATGCCATTGGCCACAGCCATGAGGAATGTGCTGGTGAGAATGGTAGCAGCATCACTGAGAAGGCCAAGGCTGACATCATTACATGTGGTGCCTTCCATCTGTAATGGGAGATTCCATTACAGATCTGGGCTCAGAAATGGCAACGGGAATCATAGAATCCTGAAAAAAAAAAGAATCCAGATAGCAGCGTGTGACCCTCTCAGGCCAAGTGGACCCGGTTATCATAATTAGTGGCAGCATAGGGGCCTGACTCAAAAAGAGTTATCAAGATGGTTAACACACCTATAGGCAAAACAGATGGGAAGCCGGCAAACTCGTGCAGTCAGTGGAAATCAAGTTGGGCAATTACGAAGCTATGAGCAGTTAGTTCAATAAAATGTCACCATCCCTTACCTGGTTTCGGGACCTGAAACAGTTTTCAAATCCAGAATTTATTGACTGAAAGAAAGAAAGGCTAGGTCCCCTGAGGGACAGACTATGCAACACAGGCCAAATCTACCTAGTCATGATCTCCCCAACCCTCCCGCAATGGTCCTTACTGCCATTTGTGGAGGTAATTGTACACTGAGGAAAGAGCAACACCCAGATATTTTGAGGCTTGATGGACAAGGATCTGAGTTGCTTCCTGGAGACTTGAAACCTGTTAGAGTGGGAGCATTTTGTATATCTGGTCCAGCTTATGATGAGTTCAGTGGGTCCTCGGATGAGTCTGTTATTTATTTTCCTAGGGCCCAAAGGTACAATAGATACATTTGGTAATTGGTATAATTCTCCACTCAACCCAGCTTCATCTTTGACTTATAAGGTGAAACTATTACAGTTAGAATGGTCAGGTCAAAATCCCTAAAATGTTCTCCTACCCTCCTTAACAATAATAAATACCATGAAAATTAATCTTATCTTGAGGTATAGGGCAGAAATGAGTGCCTTTCTTAAAGCCTTAAAGTTGTCCTGATCCCACCATATCTCCATTTAACTTACCAGTTTGGGTCCTGCAAGTACCAGATTGTTCCTAGAGGGTGATGACAGATTATTGTAAATTCAACCCAGTGATAGATCAGTTGCAGCCACTGTGCTTGAGGATGTATCTTTGCAAGAACAGACGAACACAGCTTCAAGTACCTGGTGTCTGACCACTGGTCAGTCATATGTAGTCTTCTTCTTTTTGTCTTTATCCAAAAAGAGGAACAGAAAGAGTTTGTATTTACTTTAAATGGAGATTAGTATTTGCTGTTTTGTTCCAATATTATGTCACCTCTTCCTCCAGCTGTCAAATATTGATCAGATGAACATCCTGTCGAATATTACACTGGTCTCTATAATGATAATATGCGAAAGAGAATGGATAAGCAAGAAATTGCTAGCATTGAAACTCTGTAAGGACTGATTCTCCAGAGAATGAGTAATCAAGCCGCAAACATTCAGCGAGCCTACACATTCTCCACACCAGTACATCTCAAAAATGAAGCACAAATTATTCATTTTGTGACTTCTACCATAAAGAAGAAAGGCCAGTGCATGCAGGCCTGTTTGGACTCCAGCTGCAGCATATTCCACACTTGGGACCACTGCTCTGACCTGTGTCTATGTAGCAGGTGACACAAAAGGTTGTCAAATTTGAGTTAGGCTCAGGGCAAGAAAGGATTCACTAACAATCATTGAACATGCTTATGTTGGAAAACACCATTAAATGCAGAAAATGCAAAGCTTTGACAGCAAAAAGTGGGTGAGGCTGCTCTGCAACATGGGCGAGGTGAGCGGGCAGGCCCTCACCTAGCCCATGTAGTGTGAGAGACACTGGTGGAGGAGACATACCACAGGGAGTTTGTAAGCCCCTGCTGGGGAAACTGCAGTGAAAGTGCATGGAGCTTTGGAGCAACAAAGAAGCAGAGAAACACATTTTTTTGAAAATCACTTTCCTCATATATCTGGGCCTTTGTAGAATAGCAAACCTGACCATGGCCACCAAGTGTTCGTGTGGACAGAACTATCCATTATCAGCTGGGTTTGTTCAGACCCACTAAGTCCAGGCCAGGCAGATCTAGCAGCTGACTTTTTGTAGGATAGGAGAATGTTTATCTGGTTTATCTGGGATGAATCATAGACATTATCAGGGGCACAAGCAAGCAGGATGAGCATGTGGGCTGGACACCTACTTCTCCACCAGTATTGGCTCAGTGCCTCTCTTTTGGCCTGCATTGGTGGTAACATGGGAAAGCCTTTATACAAGCTGCTAGAAGTGGAAAAAGCCCAGGCAAAGTTCATAGGAGGCTTAGCTGAAAATGGACACTGGCTGCACGACAGTACAATTCAGGCATGTTCTTGGGTAGAGCTTCAGGGAGTGTACCTGGTATTTTTTGTGGCTCAAGGATGAAACATTCACAAACACATGTGTGGAAGTTCATGCCTTAGTTGACTGCCCTGAATCCTGAAAGGAGAAAGATTAGAAGACCGGGAACCAAGAGAACTGGGAATAGAGGCATGTGGGTGGAACTTTGATATGAACACTAATTGTGAAAATTGTTATATTGCCTATAAATACCCACCAAAGAGTATTCACTCTAGAGGAGGCATGGGACAACCAAATAGAGAGTTGAAATCAGCCAGCTTCTGTTCTTACTCCAGTGCCAACATACAGATGCATGAAATGAATAGTCATGACTGCAGTTGTGGAAGTTCTGCATGGGCCCAATAGCCCTTAAGAAGTTTGACTGAGGTGACAATGCATTCTCAAACTGCCAGGAGCAGAGACCAATGTTGAGCCACCAATACAGTTGAGACGCCAATAGCATCCCTTGGGAAGACCAGTATCCACTTGTGGTATGTCGACTACATTTGAATCCTCCTACCCTGGAAGGGATAGTGATTCATTTTTACAGGAATAGACACATATTCCAGGTATGGGTGGTTTGCCTTTCCTGCCTGTAGGGCTCCCACCAGCATCCCTAGCAGTGGCTGACAGAGTGTTTGATTCCCAAGCAAAAATCCCACTGCATCAGACCAATGGATACACTTTCCAGGAAAGGAAGTACAGATGGGAATCCATGACTGAAGAATTCACGGTTTGTAGTATGTGTTACAATACCCAGTAATGCCAGACAATAGAATGGAAGAACAGTTTATTGAAGACAGAGTTGAAACACTAAACCCAAGGTAATACTTGACCAGGATGGGGCTCCATTTTCTGGAATGAAAATTATTTTAAATAAAAATACCTCTTAATGGTGTTGTGTTCCCAATAGGTGGAACATATAGATTCAGGAAACAAATGTGGAGGAAGAAGGGGTTAACTTTGCTAGCCGTCATTCACATTGATCTGCTTGGGAAATTTGTGCCTCCCATCCCTATGAGTTTAGAGATCCTTGTTCTCAAAGGGGGAACATTTCTTTCAGGTGACACAGCCAAAGTCCCTGTAAACTATAAGCTAAAGCTGCTCTCTGGGCACTTTGGGCTACTTGTACCAAAGAATAGCAAACAAGAAGATGCATTTTCATTTTAGCAGAGTTAGCGGATTCTCATCAGTGGAGGATATAGCTTCCATGCAAGATGTGCTCCTCCATGTCCCCATGTGTAACATTGGGCCCATGTTACACATGGGGACATGGAGGAGCACATCTTGCACCCGAGTGATCCCTGTGCATACTTCTTCATACTCCTTTGTCCTACGTTGACTATAAATAGACAATTGTAACAACCCCAGTCAGAGAAGTCATGGTTATTAGATCCCAGGGATGAGTAGGTGAGTCACACCATCAGCTAAATTATTGAGACCAGAGGAAA